ACGTTCGATGACGTCTCCTGAGGGAACGAATGGGCGGAGCCTCAGGCACATCACGACCCTTGGAATCCTTAACATACGAATTCGCACTATACACGCAAACCATATATTATTTGTGGACCTACGCCTCTCTGCAGACACACGGGAACACTGAAGTGATCATGTATTTTTCTCAGATATCCTCTGCTGATCGAGAAAATCCTCAAGGAGAGCAATCCGAAAGGCGAATTGCATCAGGTATGTGACCTCGCTATGAAGTGACTTTCAACATCGACCTTGTAATTTGTTCCAGGAGCTGGATACTGCTCTACAACTACTTCGTGCTCTTGTTTCTGAAGTGAATCATGCTGTGACTGAAGAGGAGAATGTGTTCCTCTTACGTTGGGCCCAGTTACATGTAAAATGTCATCCGTCACTACCTCTTGACTTCACCTCGGACACACGCCTTTTGGTAGGAATTCTTTCCAAACCCAACCAGATTTTCGATCCACTTCGATGGTCATGGATTGGAGTGGGGAGAAAGTAAAAATTCATAGTCATCTGATGAGAAACTTTCATGGAACTTTCATGGTTGCTCTACATTCTTTTATTCCTTGTAGGGAATGCGGTTATTCCTTCACTCTGGCGTACTGTACAAACAACGAAGTGGGCGTCTTTTAGTGGGTATTCTATTCAACGACTTCCTTCTACTCACTACGCCGGATGGACACTTATCAAAGGTAAGCTAAACTATTTGCCATTTTTTTTCTCTCCAGTTAAAGCGAAAATTCTCTCACGGGAGCGATCACTATGGGGGGAGGGGCCAGAGCGAGAACAGCGCACAGTTGATATCGTCGCAATCATTGGGGGGTGGTGTCAGCAGGGTTTGAATAAGCCCGCTGCAGCATTTTCACCATTGGTTGTTGTCCTCCTGAGTCGATCACCTACCGACCACCAAGACAAATAGCAAGACAGTTGGAGGCGGGCTCATTCCCCCCCCCCACTCCACCCCGAGTGATTGTGACGATATGAACCCTAGGTTTTGGTGAACCCTCTTTCATTCTCGTTTCTTTGCACCTTCTTGCATCTCATGAAACGCTGGAGGAACATCAAAAGTTGACAGAACAGTTGCATGAGCGTGGAACTCCTCTATTTTTACTGCATTACAGAATTTCCAGGTGTTCATATTACGGCTGGATACGTTTAGACGCTCAGCCATTTGACTAGAGCCCGAAAATTTTTAGCTCTGATTCATTCTGTCCTAATATAGGAAGAGACCTTTTTCAACAGAGTCACGGTTAGGCAGCGTTCAGACTTCGCGATCGCTCCACTAGTGGTATTAGGTCATCCCATTCAAACGTGCCGCTGGGTTTTTTGTTGAATAAAACCAAAGAGGAGAATGAATAGAAAAGTGATATTTTAGCTTTAGGATGAGTAAATCCCTCCTTCACCAATGACCCGCTCCCAGTGCCCGAGGGCCTTTGGACCTTCGGCGTACTTTGATTTTTCAATAAGTGCGGGTATGCTGTTGTTGCCAATTTCGGCAAATGACAAAACATTGTGGCGTCTGCCGTTGGAGAGTACTCTCAAATGAATAGAACAGTTGTAATCGCATGGCTTTATGACGGGCGAATGGGGCGATTGAACCCAGGTCTCAGTATTGTTTGTGTCCCAGCACTGATCTACAATACAGTTACTCGGGGTCTGGTACTATGACGAGCAAAGGTGGCCTTCTTGTAGTTGTGTGGTAGCATCCATTTGTCGATCTGAATGCCGAGGAACAGGCAATATGCACCGACAGTGACGGATTTGTTCTCTGTATAGAGCCGCTTGAAAGCCACAGTGTGGGAATCCTTTGCTATGATGATCATCCACTTGCGCCCACGTAACTCTTCATGGTAGAACTCGGGCGGCTTCTCATCTGCATTCATACAAAATTGACGATTGTGAGTTTCGGACTCGAGGTCCGAGACCACCCATATTTCATCTAAGGCCTGGTGGGTGCGTTTTCACAGTTGTGAGTGACATCTCATGCTGAGAACATTACTGCTAGAAATATAGAATCGGTACTGCGTTCGTGCTTCTATAAGAAAATTAGGTACCCATGCGCCACCCTCTTGACCATCCTCAGTTTATCGGACATAACTCGGGCAGCAGTTGCAGCTGGGATGTCAGACTCGCGGGGAAGCTCGACAAGGGTCCAGGCTCTGTGATCAGATATTCAGTGCCTGACTTCATCCACCCTTTTTTCTTGTGCAGGATGAATATTATGGGACCATCCACGACAACAAATTTTTTCCTTTCTTCCTTGTACGGGCTCCTGAACCAAATCTTCCACCGTGTATTTCGAGAACACCCTTACACACAACTATGGTCCGGCGCAGGTCAAATTTGAGCAGCGCACTTTCCTTTTATGACGTCTGATTTGAAAAACCGGCGCCGATTTTCACCACTCGGGCTTCTTTTCAATTTCTCGAGAACTTCTTCTGGGCTAGGTTCGCCAAATTTCACAGATACACAGCTTAAGGTACTAGCTTCCAAATGGTATAGTAGCCCGCTGCTCTATCCCCTTTGCTTTTCTGCCATTCCTCTATATGTAGCGGCACGTTTGAATGGGATGACCTAATACTAGTAACTGGTTGTAGAGCGACTGGTCATCTCTCATCCTTTCGATACTTCTACGCTTATTCAGAAAAGCGGAATCGTGCCGTAACAGAGATCTGCGAGGCGTATTTCCGGACTTCTATTATCCCTTCTGTTGAAACTTAGATCTGGTGTCGCTTTCCAACAGTACTTTGATATCCTTTTTTGAACTTCCTTCTAAGGAAGCTTTCAGTAGAGTGAAGAATTCTCTGTTTGTTCCTTGTTTTGAACTTCTGTTATCTAAATCTTTTGCCATTTCTCCGATCATTCACCCCTTTTAGTTTCTTTGATGATCACGTCGTTTCGAGATGTATTTTCTTAAAGCAATTTTCATGGAAATGACCACTGCTTTCAAGGTCCTGATCAATGTTCGCGCGCGCGTCGTGTTTATGTAAAATGGCGACTTATCTACCGTTTTCAGAAAAGTTCATCACTTTATTTTTTTTGTACTGCGCTGACAACAGCGCTGCTTTGTGTTGACGCCACTCTCTCCCACACTCAATATGGTCAAATTACGCCCCCCCCCCCACCTCCCCCTCCAAATGAGGAATCATCAACGGTGACATGCCCGACGCTGAGCAGTAGGTAGTGTTATACAGCTATTCGGCACCTGATCAAATTTGTGGACTGTCAATTCAATTCAAAGCAACGGAGAATTGCATGAGAAATACAATGTCAATTCCAGTCAGTTCCAACTAACTAACTAAAAATTACGGCTCAGAGGTGCGCAACTTTACTGAAGATTAGGGGAGAAAGCATCAGAGAATGTTCGTGCAAAACTGGGATTGACTCTGTACGAAATATTTTTAGGGACATAGACGTTACTTCTCCCTACCCATAAGCATGATAATTTGGTAGTGGGTCTAACATAGTAGCAAGGGTGCTATATTGTGGGGATGGCAAAAACGGAGTGAAAAGGTCAAAAACCTGCAAAGAAGAGCTTTCGTTCTGAGTGATTCTAAAAGCAATTGTGTTGCGCAGAGCAACTTGCCACTAATCACTACGAAATTTGGTTGTTAATATTCGTATTTTACAGCCGATCTCGTTCAAGATCTCAAAGACCACCGAAATTTATTTTCACTGTTTACAAGCAGCCGATGTTACTCGCAAACCTGAAGGTTATGCCGTCGAATGATGAAAACCAACAAAAAAAAACCCCACACCCCGCCCAACCAACATTGACCATTCAAACAAGGTTCGTTGCACAAGGTCGAGGCTCAAGGCTTGCGCTTTTGGTATTACTGTGTTTATGTACTCAAGAAAATGGCTGCTTCACGTCCAATATGGTTTTTACGCCAAACTGTAGCAACTAAGAGGAGTCCTGGTCCCTGTCACGTGCGAGATGAATTGGCCCGCGGCTGCAGTACCTGCCACTTTCTCTAATCAACAGTGAAGGGGGAATGGGATGGAGGATAGTGATAGCCATATGTTGTTCTGGACTCCAATCCACCATCAAGCCTGTGGAGGGAACTTGTCGCATGGCAAGGAACACGTGCAGCCATAGTGAAGCGTGCCATATGTGTGCACCCTCTTACGTTTGCTCGTACTCTATACCGCAGTAGGCACTTTGCCACTCATGGTGGTCGCTCAGGGCACATCATCATTAGGGATTCCCCAGCAGGACCATCATCTTGAGTCGCTGGGGGGGGGTGTATTTTCCACGCGACTTTTCCATTTTCCAATGTGACATACGCCCGCCCGCCCCCCCCCCTTTTCCGCTCGACAGCGAGGAGGGAAGTGGAGGGGGTCGTATCAAGCCACCTTCTAAGAGGGTTGCGAATGCATAGATGAGGAGAAGCAGGTGAGGAGTAGTTTAGGACACCATTTGAGGGCAAAGGGCTCTTGTTCTTGTCAGCTAGTTGATTCGAAGCAACACTGTCAGATCTAACATCGTCGTGGTCTAGCGGGATGTCACTAGGAATGAGTCCCTCCCCAACCCCAACCTCCACGGGCGCGTTTTATAAGCATCGGTCGGGTTGAAAACCACTGGTGGAACCGCCGCCGACAAGCCGTTCTACGTCTCCTGACACCGCTCTTGGGGATCGTTACCAAATCAACTGTACCGTTCATTTGACTGCCTTCTTGCGGTGCCCCTCTACCACACTTATTTGACGCCAAATGCGATGGTCGCGTCAAGCACCAGGAGGGAGGTCTCAACGCGAAGCCACCGCTCGGATGGCCGCAATTCTCGCGGTTTCATGTGCCTGTGCCAACCAGACAGGCGCATCGCCGTTGTACTATTTCTGCCTCACAAAAAGGTCTCTGTCTGCTTCCCCCCTCATTACCCAGAAAAATGGTAGTGATGTCCATTGGTACTCCAATATTGGATGTTGTGGCGTGAACTTAAGAGTCAAATCAGCTTTCGCCCTACATCGTGATGATCTCGCGGGAGATATTGTTGTGGACAGTTCGGCGGCACGAAAAGCCCAGCTTTTCGGAGCAAACTGATCGTTTAAGAACATGCAGTTACTTCGAGAACACTTCTATTCGTCGAAATTGATAGCAAATATTCATTGGACGCGAATTGCTAACGCCTCTGTGAGCTCCTGACTTTAAAGAAACGGTCCGCGATGACCTATGAAAATGCAAGAGGTTATGTGGGAAGGTATTAGGTTGGTCGAAAAGTCCTGCGACACTTTGACCAATTTTTCGGACTAAATTTTCAGTCACTAAAAGACATCTCCAATCGACAAGGTTATCACCACTAAGGACTAGGACTAGTGCCCTTCTTTTGCACAGCTTCTCATTTCCATTCTTCTAGAACTACGGCAACTATGATAAGAAGAAGAGGTGGACCTCATTTTTGAGTAGACGTCGATTTTCGGAATTTTTGCCTTCTTAAGGATGCGGTAGGGATCAAAAAAGGTAGTAGTTAGAGACTGCTAACTTTGATGAATAAGCTGGGTATGGTCGCATTCTCAGATCGAGATCCACGATCTTTTGGTGTGGCCTGATCTTAACATGCGGTCTTCGCAATGCCGAGCGCTAGAGAAAAATTGAGTATTTTTGAAGAATTCAAGCTTGACGTCATCCATGTTGTGAGGTCGGTTAGAGAGGACTGTAGTCCTTACCGTTATGCTAGTATCCAGAGATACCGCTTTGAAGT